TTATGAGGAATTTTAAATGCATAGAAAATAATGAAAACAATATATTGCACCCATGTACCTATGACCAAGACTCAATAGTTGATACAAGCTGATAACAGTTGACAAAACTCATAGCTAAGCTTATTTCAACTGTAACTCCACCTATTTCTGCTCACACCCAACCCCAGATTATTCCAAAACCAAGTTCTTTACTTCCTCTCCTCCAAGTATGTTCTTCATTTTCACCAGTATTTGCCACCACCATCACATCATTATCTACTCCTATTTTTCAAACCCTGAATCCTAGAATCATCTTGGTTTCTTCTGCATCTCTCACTAATTGCTACTCCATACCCATCAGTGAACCCTATCAGCTCTCCCTCTGCCCCAGATCTAACTCCCAACCTCCATCCTAACTAACAACAGTGCCTTCCTGAAAGTATGTCAACAGCCACCAACTTGGAGTCAAAACACAACAAAAGCCTAGTCTATGATCAAGCAAATCAGTGACCCATTTAAAATTAAAATATCCCTCATGTCCCTCCTTAAAACTTTTTATCAATCTCAAGATAAAACGCCAACTTCCTGTTGAGGCTACCAATGATCTGCACCAGTTTCCTGTCTACCTGTCATCCTCTCTTATACCTGTATAAGTATACCTGCTCTCCCAGCAATGCATCAATCTCATTTCTACCTCAAAGCCTTGCTTCCTGTCAGTTAATCTTTGAAGAATGCTATACAGATGGCTGGTTCTTTTCATTATTTAAATCCCAGCTCAAATGTTAAATATAGACTTTAAAAGGCACCCTGCTTTGAGCCACTCTTGCCTTCTGTAACCCTGTTTTATTTCCTCTTTAGTCCATCACATATGACATTCTCTGGGTTAGCTACACTACACAGAGCAGGTACCGTGCCTTCCTCATATAGTGTTGTAATCACAGCACATGAAACAGGGCTCAGTACATGGTTGACACTCAATACATGACTGCTGGATTTAAAACAAAATTCATTTCACTTGACTGGATTCTTTGGGCAGGGGATGAATAAGAATCTTACCTCTCTAGCTGCTTAACTTATTGAGCAAAAGTGCTTTACATGTCAGAACCTGCCCAGTTAATTCTGGGGCTTTAGAAAGCAGCAGCCAGCCGCAGAGGCAACTTTTGTGATTTCCACAACCTCTGTCTGTGCAGAAAAGACAGCACATGTGTCAGCACCTCACCTCTGGTGGTAAATATTACCACCATCCCTACCTCACAAAGCAACTTATACAAGGCAGTACCACTAATACACTACGGAGCTGAGATCAACACTTGCTTATTCAACTCAACAAAGTAAGTACTGAAAGACTGTGGTATGCCAGCACTGTTCCATACACTGGCTATGAAGCTGAAAAGCTGTGCCTTTCCCCAAGGAGCCTCCGCTCCTTGCAGGCTTGGACAGCAGAGTGAGCTGTGCTCCCCCAGGAGCCACAGGTCAGCCACTCTACAGTTAGACAGCTCATCCACTCAAACCTGCAACTCAGCAAAATCACAGGTTTAACAACTATGAGCCCTCAAAAATCAATGCTGAGAGTTCCAGAACCCCCAAAGGCCTCTGCCTCTAGAGCTCAGCTTTTGCATCTATTAACCAACCACTGTGCCTCCAGTAACTCCCCTTTTTCTTATGCCCAGTAACATATTAACTCTGTCTAAACCAACTGTAAGAAAACCTGATTTGATTATCAAAGACTGAGATTAAGGGCTAAGGCCTCATTTACTTGACCAAAAACAGAGCTCATCATTTAAGACAGGATGCTTTTGCAACTGGTACTCCAGAAACAAGAAGCATGAATCAGAACTATCCTAGACAAATCAAGAAGCTGGCTCATTTGAGTCTTAATTCTTTCATCTGTCAAGGATCCCTAAACCTCCCTCTCATAGTGGTTGTGAGAATTGAGTACCCGCCCACTGTATAATTACATGCTTTGAAAACAAAGAGATAACAATACACTTAAGACACTACAGGATAAGCAAACTTTAGAAAAAATTAACAGTTTTTCCAAAACAATTACATGAACAGAATCATTGTTTTTGGTGCACTAGGAATTGAACCCAGGGCCTTTGAATAAAGGTCCATCCCCAGATCTTTTAGCAATTTAAAAAATTCTGAGAAGCTGCTTGATATCTCACCAACTTGCCAAATTTCCCAAGCTGGACTCAAACTTGCAATCCTCCTGCCTCAGTCTCCCAGAGTGCTGGGATTACAGGTTTGCACCACCATGGCTGGTTCTATTACCACTTTAGACCAGAACTCCATGAAAATCTAAGGATGGGGTTTGTCCATCATTTTTAATACTTGCATCTAGCCTGGTATCTGGCGTATTTCCAAATGAATCAATGAACGCATAAAAAGTAAAGTTTAAATTTTTTATTGCCAAATTCGCCTACAAATTGATAATCAGAGTGTATCTTGTTCAGTGGAACCAGCCTCTGTGGAGGCCACATGCAGACTGACATTCCAGTTATGTATTAGCCTTGCCTGAACAATTCTTACTACTTTATAACATTCCTACTGTTACCTCCTTGACATTTTTAAGTTTATTCAGAGTGGTGCTTCTTTGAGCCTAGGGGAAAAAAAAGTGTGAATTTGAATACAGTCAACCATCTATTAATTCAGAATTCTATCTCCTGCATTTGTAGTCATACGCATAAGCTTTCCAGAGGGACAACACTCAACACTGACAGGACATTTCTGGATCCAATTCTGCTCCATTCTCTACCCATTGCAGTGGTGGTAACAAGGTAACTGGGCTAGGCTTTCTCAGCTGGAACTTTCCTCTGCCTCTCAGAGAAGCCCTAAGACAGTGATGGTGAACCTACGGCACACACATTAGTGTGATTTTAAGACAAAAGATTTTAATGTATGGGTTGATTTTCCTGCACTAAAACCTCAGTGTTCAGATTTAACTGCAACATTGGCACTCTGTGATAAGTGGGTTTGGCTTGTAGTCTGGCATTTGGTTTTGAAAAAGTTCACCATCAGTATCCTCAGATATTTCATAGGCTCAGTATCTCTCTCTCTAAAATGTAGATGCTATCTTACCATTAGGCTACCTAATGGTTCTGACCTGAAGAGTAAATGAAAGGTGCAGAGTTTTGTAAAGTACACTGTACTTGCTATGCAAATTAAAGGTGAGAGAGAAAGGTGAGATCATGGGAATAGTCCAGTACTGTTACAGCCCAACCTAAGAATCTGTTCACTTAACAGGCCAAGGTCAAGCCCATATGGTCAGGAGCACTCTCTGCAGGGACTGAGGTGGACATGGCACTGAGGTGGGGACCCCAGAGATCATCTACATCTCTCCAAGTCCTCATCTTTAGCTCTGTTTAAACAAGTGAAAATTAGAAACAAAGGAGAATTGCAATTAGAAAAATTTTCCTCCAACGTAGCAACATGATCAGAATTTGAACCCTGGAATTTTCTGATTTCCAGACACTAAAATTCTCAACCAATCACACCATGAGAGTTTACATTAACTTTCTTTGCCCTAAATTTGGCTCTAAATACCTTCCTCCATTCCCAATAATTTTGCACTGTAAAAATCCTGAAATAACTACTTTAATTCAGGTTCTAGCAACTATTACCTGCAGGTCAAATTTGAGCTGGTAAATAAAGTGTTAATGGAACACGACCACATAAATTTGTTTACATACCTCTTTTTTTTTTTTTTTAACTGGGGATGGAACTCACAATTTTGCGCTTGCCTACACGCTTATACCGCTGAGCTAAATCCCTGGCCCTGTTTACATACTATTATGGCTGCCTTCATATTATAAAGCCATAATTTAGTAACTGTAAATGAGACAGTATGGCCCATGAAACCTAGAATATTTACAATATAGCCTTTTATAGAAAGTTTGCCAATACTTGCTCTAATCGATTACCTCAAATCTGTCTCAAATACAATAGGAAACAGTACAATATATGTCTGATAAATAAACCACTTTTTCTTGAGAACTAGCAAACTCTTCACTTAAAAAATATGTTTCACATTTACAGAATTAGCATTTCTGTGTGTTGAAGCAAGTAGGATTTAGCATCAATGGCACAAGTATATTTTCCCATGTGGTCATAAACCTACACTGCTGATCTAATTACAGTTCTTAACAAAACATCGATTTAAACTGAATCAAACGAACTGTCAGTCCCAAAGTCATTTTCTGAAAGTAGAATTAATTTTAAAGGTAAGGTCTAAAAATAAAAAAATCTTTAATGAAAGTGTTTTCTTCAATTAACACATAAGATTAAGCTGAGATAATACAATTTCTATTTATGCTTATGGATGTACATAAAAATATAGGATTATTAGTTTAAACAGAGTAACACTAAGCTAAATATATCTGAACATCTAAGAAGCACTCAAAAAAGCAAAAGCAAATATTCAATCTACACTTTTAAATAAAAACAGGGTTACTCACTGAGGTGCAGGGTAAGGATCCTTTACTTCCCAGCCCTTGACACCCTTGTAGATTAGCTTTCTACAGTCTGGATATGGTGGGGAAAAATCTGTGCATAGGAAGAGTAATGAGCTCATCCACCTTCCTTTCTCCCCCTTGAAGAAATAGGAGGTGCTAAAGGAGGAAGGGTCAAGGTTTTTGAGATGATGCCAAGAAAAAAAGAAAGAAGAAAGAAAAAGAAAACATAAGCCATTTCATAAGATGCGGCTCTAAAAGTTCTATCGCTAAAATATAACCAAAAATGTCACACTTGTGAGGATGATTCTTTTAATTTCTACTACATTCTCTTCACCAAAAATTAATCCATTCATTCCAAACTTAAAGGACAAATTTGAATAGTTCTGTCACCTTTTAAAATCAGTTGTCAATATGCTCTGCTCAGAAAGTTTCAAAACAGAAAAACAACAAACTTCTTTGGCTGTCCTTCAAATGGACCAAGCTCATCTAATGCCTTCCCATAAAGCCTGTTCTAACTGTGTCTAATCTGTCAGGCCAGGAAAACCCGTCATATGCGAAAATACAGACCTCTCGCCGAACAACACTTGCAGTCCTCTCCAAGTGGTCAGTCTTCCTTTTGGATTTCATTATGCTTTAATAAAAAGTAAAATTAGGTTACTAAATAATGTCCTCATAAAAGCAATAAAATAAGTTTACTTTGGCTATGCAAAATAGAATACTAAGCATCCTACAAAATGGTTAGTGAAAATGTACACATCTAACTGAAGTTTTACGATCTCCTGATGGTATACATCATTTAAGCCAAATGCTGCCTCTTTCAGTAGTTTGATATGCTTTCCACAACTATCAGCAGATCAGGTCTCTTTGGAAATAAACTTCAAATAACACCAAAGGCTGATAACTCACCTGGCTAGGGTAAGGTGACGCAAAGTACTGGGTGTCAGCCTTGACGAAGCAGCTCGTGTGCAAATGGCTCCCAGAGAGCCTCCCGCCAGCCCAGGAATCAAGACAGCAGTGCAGGCCATGGTACTTCCTGGCAAACAAAACTCAAAATTTAAAACTACTTTTTAAAAAAGTGGCAGAAATATCAACTAGTTTTGGGGCCAATAAAAAAGTTTGGATTTCTGTAAGTGCAATTATGACTTGCTCTGCCAGCAAAAGAAGCAAAACCTTAACCTGGCAAAATTTCTGTTATCATTCAGAGCTGATTCCAATATGTAATTATTTGTGCCACCAAGTATAATCAAGTATCACATAACAATGAGAATACATTCTGAGAATGGCTTCATTAGGGGATCCTATCATTATGCAAAAGCCTGCACAAACCTAGATGATGTAGGTTACTCAGTGGCCTCTTGATGCAATCCATACACTGTACACATAAGAGATACATGGGGCTGTGTTTAACATGGCAACAGCTGTTTTACGGTAATACATGTTACATGTTATTATTTTACAGTAAAGAACTTTTTGGGCTGGGGATTTAGCTCAGCAGCATAAGCGCCTGCCTTGCAAGCAGGCAGTCGTGAGTTCGATCCCCAGTACCGATAAAAAGCAAAAAGATTTAAAAAAAAAAAAAGGAATTTTTATAAGTGGAAGAAGCATATCCTAAAATAATGATAAACACAATAAATATATAAGCCAGTGATATGGCCACTTATTATCAAGTACTATGCACTGTATATAACTCTCTGTGCTACACTTTTACAGGACAGCACAGTAGGTTTGTTTAGACCAGCATCACTACAAACACAAATTGTAGTCAGGTGTGGTGGTATACACCTGTAATCTCAGCACTCAGGGCTGAGGCAGGATTGCTACAAATTCAAGGCCAGAGTTAAACTACATAGTGAGACCCTGTGTCAAAAGAAAAACAAAAAAACCTCACAAGTTGTGCGCTGATGGCTACACTGGTACTAGGGCAACTCCACTGTGATCTTACAGGACCTATGTATAGTCCTTTGTTGACTGAAACATTAAACAGCATGTAACTGTAGTCATGTTCTCTGTTGGTTTCCAAAATCTGTAACCAAGTTTATGTGACTACTTATGCTATCATAGAAGAGGAAAGTAGATCTGTAGCTGCTGATAATAGTACTCTACCTGATGAGGGCCATACAGTTGTTGCTATTTCTTGTTAGAAAAAATGCAAGATGGAGACAAATTCTAAAAGAACAACACATAATATGATTTATAATAGCCTACAATAGAAATTATGCAACAGGACATTTACAACAGTAAACAAACATACTACATAGCAACGATAATGAATAAACTGCAACTACTTATAGTAATTTCATTTTAAATGCAAGAAGTCAGGCTCAAAAGAGCATATATTCTTTGACTTCAACCACATAAAGTACAAAAAAGGGCAAAATTAATCTATGATGTTAGCAATCAAGTAAGCCATTATCCTTAGGTGATGGCCATAACAGTGCTATTCCTTTATGTGGGTGCTAATTGCCTGGGTTTTTACACTTTGAAGAATTCATTAACTGTCCTCTTAGGAGTTGTGTACTTTTCTCTTTATATGTTATACTTCAATAAAAAGTTAAAAACACATTTATACAAAGGATTTCCACCATTTTAGTTCGTAAAGCCACTGGACTATCAGATGCTGGAAAAATAAAAAATGGAGTAGAGAGAGAGGTGAAAAAAGGGAATTGAAATGTGTTACATATATATATCAAACCCAGACAGTGAATGTAGTCATTATGTACTGCAAATATGTACTAATAAAAGAAAAAAAAAAGTGCATACAAGACATTACAAATGCCTTAGAAGAATTCAGTCTTTGGATTTTAAATACATTCTTTCTGATACAAGTTTTGGAAGCATATTTGAAGCAGAATAATTTCTGAGTTATGGCACAATTTCTTTCAATTATACTCAGGCTGGCACAAAAGTCAAATGTTTTCTGTCATGAATATTTTTTTAACTGTAATACAGAAAAGAGCTCTTTTTCAGTAGGTTCACTTAATTGTTAATTTTAAATATGCAACTCTGTGCAGTGCTTTTATTTAAAAAATTTAATCTCTAAATAGGAAGATAGATTTTTCTCAAAGAAGAAGGGAATCAAGAGATGAAGGGGTAGGGGATGAAAAAAAGAATTAAATGTGTTATATACTGTACTAACTCCACAGAAAGAATGTAAACATTATGTACTATAAATATGTACAAAGGGAAACAAAAAGAAAGGTGATTGAGATGTGGAGAAGGAAGGAAGGAAAGGAAAGGGGCTAGAAAAAAGGAACTAAGATTTATTAGGTATATGTACCAATTCCCCATAAGCAAGGTAAATACATGTACCATAAAGATGTACTAATAAAGAAAAAAAATTACTGAAGCATCAGGAAAATCCTAACTAGAAATCAAAATGAATTTTTGGTTCCTTTCCACACTATTTTCTTATACCTAGTTTTAACTATTTCTTTGCCCATAACAGCCACATTTAACATGCTATATTGTCCTATCAATCTTTTCCTATCTTAATTACCTTGAGACTAAAAATGTATGTGAATACTTTTTTTCCAATCTCTCTGGAAAGCATTGTATAATTGTAATAAATTTAGTTAAGAAGCCAGTCAAGCTAACTAATGAAGCTTCATATTCACTTGTCTTTCATTCAATAGTCATGAAGAGCAAGTAGGAAGGAGGCACTGGTCTAGCCACTGGCAGCACTAGCATAAAGAAAACAAAAAGTCTCTCAGTTTACATTCTAAAAGGCAGAGATAGAAAAGAAATCAGGTAGTAATGTAAGCTAAGTGTGATTTATTCAGCTATAACCAAATGATATAAAAAAGCCCACCATCTCCTAACTGCTCTTGAGATAAACAGTATGATTCAGTATCATTGTGAATATACATCCTGCTGGTTACTTTTCTACTAAATGAAAAAGTATAATCACACTTTCATGCAGTTTCTCTTCTTTAAAAGCACCAAGCCCACAACAATGTGTTAATCACTAAAATGCACTAAACCCAAAAAGGTGTGTTAATCAATCACTGAAAGGAAGAAGGTGAAACTTACTTTAGAAGTCCATGAGCTTTTATGAGTCATTAAGTGTATGGCCGTTGACTAATGCAGCATATTTTGGTGGTGGTAATTTATTGATTTCAATCAGAACATGGACAGTTTTTTCATATACTGAAATTCTCACAAAGCTCCTGGAATGGCAAAGACATCATATAAGAAAAATGTTTTGGGAAATTGAGAAAAAGCCAGGTAAGTCTTGGCTGCAACAGTGAAGGCTCATTACACTTAGCAGGCACCCATCCCAGTAAGCCTGTTCTCCCTCTGCCCATCTTGCCATTTCCCTTTTCAGATTTTTTCATGCTTCTCTAGTTCAGCTTCCTCGTCCTTTATTAACTCCTATTACTTGGGCAATCCATTCCATCAATTTCCTTTTCATGCTGTTGTCAACCTGCCATATGGTGGCCATCCTCCTTTGCCTAGCCACTGGTGGTGCATCTCATACTTCTGCTCAAGCTGCCCCTGCACTTGCTAAGAAAGTAAAAATGTAGCCAAAGGCAAGAAAGATGCTTACGTATCATTTATGGCCAAATGGACTACATATGGAAATACTGTTCAGTGTTTTAGACAACTAAGTCTTCCCAATGGGAAACACCATCCATGACTACACTGTTTGAATGGTCTACTTCTCAAATGGAAAATAGCAATGTTAATTTTTAAAAGTTGCTCTTTTTAAAATTCTTTTTTTTGTGTGTGAAACAAACTTTTTTTATTTAAAGAGAAAAAAGAAAGGAAATTAAAAAAACAAAGCAGTAAAAGGGTACAAGTAATACAGAATTTTCTTTTTAAAATTCTAAAATATTGTTTTGTAACAATAATCATGATCAAGATTGCCACCTACTGGCAAATAAAGAGCATTTTTATAAAACTGTGCTCAAAGTGCCTTCCAAAGTTTAATGTCAGTCCTTTGAATAAAATATTTTTTAAAATTTACCGATTTTTTACATGCCCAAGGAAAAGTGTAGTTAATGAAAATATTTAGTCAAATAAAATAGATCAGCATGTGTTAAGGAATTTATAAAACTATAAAGACTACCCCATAAATATCTGTACCCTGACAAAGTCTCTTCTACCAAAAAAAAAAAAAAAAACTTAACTATTTCTAAAATGCAAAAAAAAAAAATTACTATAAATGCTAATTAAAACTGATAGCATTTTTTTGGTCTTCTTGACACAGGGTTTTATTATGCAATTCAGGCTGGCCTTCAACTCACTGCAGCTCAGACTGCCCTCGAACTTGCAGCAATCCTCTTGCCTAGCTTCCTGAGTGCTGGGATTACACGCATGGGTCACCATACCCAGCTGCTGATACTCTTAGCTAAATTCTGAAAGAAATCACTGCAAGCAACAGATTAAGATTTAAGATTGATTACACTGGTTTTAATTCCACTATTTTAAGTCTTGGAGATATAATAACTTGACACAACAGCCTTGCCATTCTGAAGCCTTTACACAGACAGAAAACACTAAACAGATATTTAATGAGATTATTACAATGAAAATGAGTGTAATAAGGTGGTAGGAATGGTGTGGAGTACCAGCGATGACCACTCCAAAAGTGGTAACATCTGAGTGAGACTAGAAAGCTCCCAGGCAGCTAAGCAGATGCTCAGGATAAAACATCCTCACAGAGGGATTAGCAAGAAGAAAGGCCCACATGAAAACCGAGGCTGGCATGTAAAGAAATCAAACCAGTGCAGCTGGAAAGTAGTAAACTGAGTAACAGTAATACGAAATAAAGTTAAGTAACTAGACATGTTCCCTTCAGAGCAGGCCATGGTAAGGATATGAACTTCACCCTAAAGTACTGAGAAGCAATGGAAGAGTGAATAAAGCAGAAAAAAACATGATCTAATTTGTATTTTTAAATGATTGCCCACGTTACTGTGTGAAGAATTATCCAAGGTCTGGAGTAAAAGCAGGATGTAGCTGGATACAAAGTCAATACTCAAAAATCAATAGCATTCCTATACACTAACAACAAAATCACTGAGAGAGAAATAAGAGAAGCAACATCCTTCACATTAGCATTCAAAAAGTGAAATACTTAGGAATTAATCTCACAAAAGAAGTCAAAGATCTATACAGGGGAAACTATAATACTCTGAACAAAGAATTCAAAGAGGATCTCAGAAAATGGAAAGACATCCCTTGTTCATGGACAGGAAGAATAAATACTGTGAAAATGGCCATTCTCCCAAAACTGTTATACAGATTCAATGCAATCCCAAAGAAAATACCATTAACATACCTCATAGATCTAGAGAAATCACTCCTAAAATTCATCTGGAACCAGAAGAGACTGGGAATAGCAAAGGCAATTCTAAGCAGCAAAGGCAAGGCAGGGGGCCTCACAATCCCTGACTTGAAGTTATACTACAAAACAACTATAATAAAATCAACCTGGTACTGGAATAAAAACAAATCTGAAGATCAATGAAATAGATTAGAAGATACAACCACAACCAGAAACACACTCAACCACCTTATCTTTGATAAAGGGACCACATATGTTCACTGGAAGAACGACAGTCTCTTTAATAAATGGTGCTGGAAAAACTGGCTCTCCATATGCCAAAAACTAAAACTAGACACATGCCTATCACCATGTACCAAACTAAAATCTAAATGGATCAAAGATCTGCATATTAAAACAGATACACTAAATCTGTTGGAAGATAAATTAGGTAAAAATCTTGACAACTTAGGGGGTAGGTAGAGAATTCATGAACAGGAATCAAACCGCACAGGAAATACTTCCCAGAATCAATAACTGGGATCATGCCTTATTAAAAAGTTTCTGCATGTCAAAAGAAATCTCCAGCATAGTGAAAAGAAAGCCCACAAAAAATGGGGAAAAAAATCTTAGTGAATTGTCCCTCAGACAAAGGACTTCTGTGTAAAACATATAAAGAATTTTAAAAAATCAGACCCCCAAAATTCAAAGACCCAATCCAAAAGTGGGCATCTGAGATGAATACACACTTATCAGATAAAGAAATACAAATGGCAAATAAATACATGAAAAAATGTTCATCATCATTAGTCATTAGAGAAATGCAAATTAAAACAACACTGAGATTCCATCTCACTCCAGAAAGAATGGCCAGGATCAAGAAAACTACCAACAACACATGCTGGAGAGGCTGTGGGGAAAAAGGAACTCTCCTGCACTGTTGGTGGGAGTGTACATTGGTGCAACCACTGTGGAGGTCAGTCTGGAGATTCCTCAAAAAGCTGGGATTGGAAGTCCCACTTGACCCAGCTATTCCACTTTTGGGCATATTCCCAGAAGAACTGAAAACATCATACCACAGTGATATATGTGCAGCCATGTTTATAGCAGCACAATTTGTAATAGCCAGATCTTGGAAATAGCCTAAGTGTCCATCAACTGAGGAATGGATAAAAAATTGTGGTATTTTTATACAATAGAGTACTATTCAGCATGATCACATTGAAATATTTATAAATAAATGGACACAACTTGAGACCATACTCATAAGCGAAATAAATCAAACTCACATGTATAAATACCATATAGTCTCTCTAGTATAAGAAATAGTAAGAGTACGTAAGATTTTTTGGGGGCTGGGGATTTAGCTCAGCGGCATAAGCGCCTGCCTTGCAAGCAGGCAGTCATGAGTTCAACCCCTGGTACCGATAAAAAGGAAAAAGACAAAAAAAAAAAAGAAAAGAAAATGAGATAATATAGTAACCATTGTTCGTTTTCTGTTATTTGGTTCTGAACATCCTGTAATACTTTCATTTTCTTGAATGGTTTTATACTATTTTGTTATGTTTGATACTATTGTATGTGAAGATATGCTCAACTATTTCAAAGAAAGAGACATGGTAGTTACTGTTAATATTGGGTTATTTTGTGGTGAAGTACTGTGTTGCCCACATTGTTCTGTTCTGATCTGCTTTGTTCTTTTGTCTTAATCTCTTTAAAATAAAAAGAGTGAAAGCAGGAATCTGAGATCTGAGAGAGCAGAGAGTGAGAGAAAAACCAAGAATGCTTCACAAAGAAAGACTGTCCTAAAATAAGTAGTAAATTTTCAAAGCAATTGTGGTATCTGTCAATTTACAACTGTGGGTATCACTGAGGGAACAAAGAGGAGTCCCATCACCATGTAAGACAACCTGAGTAGTAAGCACGTGGCACAGGGGGTCTTGGGAAAATGGGGTAAATCCTGGAAAGCCATCTTTTACCATGCTAACAATACCCATACCCCCTCCCTGGGAGAAACAGAATAATATTTGCAGATGTACCTGGCAAGCCAGAGTGCTACTCAAAATCAATCCTCATATACTAACCTTTCTCTTCCTTGTCAAATCCACAGTGGTAGTGGTTTGATAATATCAAAACAATCTCCCTGAACAGATACACAATAGTGGCACTCTTCAAATATACATGCTATGACACAATTATGAGTTACTTTTAAATCTGATCTTATACTAAGAATTTTACTGTACCATCCATATCAGAATGCTAACACTACATACAAAACTTGTAGCAAAGGATTGTGTAGCATCTAGTAAATATGCCCTTGTCATACTCTCAAGTCCAAAAATGTGTCGTTCTAAAATGTTTCTATTCTCTTTTATGAATAAAAGGAAAGTTTGGTGTTTTCTTTAAAAGTGGTGTGGAAGGGCTGGGATATAGTTCAGTGCTTGCCTGACAAGTGCAAGGTCTTGAGTTTGATTCCTGGTACAAAAAAAAAAAGTGTTGTAGAGTCAAAACAAAAGGAAAAACCTTTATTGTATGTTTAAGTATGGTTTTACTTTCTTCAGAACAGTGAAAGTGCAAACTGGGCAGAAACCACAAGAGGAACTATGAGTGGCAGACACGGCAGAGGGGCAACAAATGGACAGATGAAAACAGAATGGAATGTGTAGGACAAGCCCCCAAGTCTAGGTTTCAACAGAATAAGCACTGTGGTGTAGAAAAACCTATGCTTGTTTCATTTAGCACCCTGTACCACTGTACACACAGACACTTCCCAGGTAGCCCCTTGGAGCTGTCAAGGTTTTGTTTCTTTGTTTTTGTCTTCATCTTTTTAAGACAAGGTTTCACTATGCAAACTCTGAACTCACTCTGTAGCCCAGGCTGGCCTCAAACTCCCAGTGGTCCTCCTGACTCAGCCTCCCCAGCAGTTCTGGGATTATAGGTATATGCCGTCACATTCAGTCAAAAGATGCCAGTTGTTCAGACTGAGTTGAAACTCCAACTGTGAGAAGTTTGGAACCTGAAATGAATACAAGAGTCTGAGGGAAAAATTCACAAGTTGCACTAAAAGAGCTTATAGAAGGTTGGTTCAAAGACTACACAAACCCTGTCAGAGATCTGCCTGGAATTAGGAAACATGTGAAAACTTGCTGAAGGGTTACCACAGTGATTCAGATGTCAGAAAGGAAAAATCCCACCAAAGTCCACACACCTGGCAACTTTCACAAACACCTGAATGTGTATACACATGCACAGAGGAATGAATTAAGGATGTATTATGTAAATTAAGTTATATGTAGTCCAGTAAAAAAGTCTCAATTTCCATGCAAAACAAATGTTAAGATTTGAAAAGGGTTGTGTAGCCATTTCTAGCCCAAATTTTTCTTAGAAGAGAAATAAGGACCAAGAATATAACCTCCAATTCCCAGAGCTAAGTTGCAACCAAGTCATATTCTGAGTCAAGACCTGGTTTTCAATAACGCTTTTCTCACTCACTTCATTCCTTTTCTACTAAGATAGGAACAAATGTCTAGTAATGGAGAAATACTCCATGGTATCCGATTGTACCAAACAAGCACTAGCGCTGCTTTCATGACAGCTTGCATTTAACTTCAACGTTCAAAAAGCACTCACGTTGCTAACCCACTCCATTGATACCATTGCTTTTTCAGAAGGAACTGAGATTCGCATAGGTAATTTGTTTCAGACCTGTGGGGAAAAGGCTCATAACTTCTAAGTATGTGATCTCGGTCAAAGGGCCCACTCTCTGGACCTCAAATTAAAGATTAATAAAATGGAATTTAAAACACCCAAGTTTAAAGGAAGAATTATACTTAGCACAATTCCTAACACATTACGAATTCCCGACAAAAAGTGATGTTATTTCAGTTAATACATAACATCGTAGTTACTAACGTTATCAGTTTAGCAATATAGGACTGAGGCCCCTCTGCCTTCCTCTCAGTAAAACAACTTAGCATATTTGAAGATGTCTGGGATGAGGAAGAGGTTGGGATGTAGAACCTGCACCCAGAACAATCACAAACTGGACGTCCCCCTGACCTCCAGGTCACCTGATGAAGTGCAATTCCAGGAGAGCTGTTCGTCTTTCACCGGGAAGGGACGGAGAGGACGCCTAGCAGCTCCCGCCGCCTGCTGAGACCAACAAAAGCAGTGCCCTTGCTTGGCCACTTGTCAGACTTCAGCTAGCTGTTTAAGGCCTAAGGTCAGCTTCGTGACGCAGGGAAACGAACTTTACACACTCACATCGCGCAGTGCCGGGATAAATCCCGCTTCAGCTCTAGGCTGCCTCCGCGGTCTCAAACCGTGACGTACAACCACACGACGAGCTCCACGTTTAATTGGTCGCGGTGCGCGACACTGCTGAGCAGGAGGCGCCATTTTTCCAGAACCTCCTCCCACATCTCAGCCGTCGCCATGGTGACCGCGACCCAGTCACCCATTTGGCGGCCAAGGCTGGGTTTGCGTCATTGTCTGTGCGCCGGAAGCACTTGTTCGTAGTAATATTGCTGACTCTGGAAGCGTTAAATTAGACCCGACGAGGTGCTGTCAGACGGCCGGACCGTCAGCCCTTTGCCGGCCTCAAGGCCATGGCAGTATTCCACGACGAGGTGGAGATCGAGGACTTTCAATATGACGAGGACTCGGAGACGTATTTCTACCCTTGCCCTTGTGGAGATAACTTCTCCATCACCAAGGTAACTTCAGGGCCCCGCCCAGCAATTTACCCGAGCGGACGCTTTTTTGCTTTGCTATGTTGCTCAACGTTGTTCAGTCGCCCTTGCGGCTCTGAGTCATCCATATCCTCTTTTCCTTCGCCAAAAATTAATAGCCTGACTTCTCAGTGGACCCATAGTTCTGGCCTTTAGTCCGCCCTGTGAGGGCATGACCCCGAGCGCGGGTCTCTAGCACCGCACCAGCGTCTCTTAGAGTCCTTTGCTGGGATACGTGTTTGGGAAAGGAGGCTCATTTTTCATTTGTCAGGAGTTTCGAGACGACGACTCTCTCCTAACCTTCGTGGATGTTTTCTCTTAAGTGTTTAGTGCAGGGGAAAATAAGTAAGCCCTCCTGAGCTCTCCTGGAGGGTGGATGCAATAACCAAGAGAATTGCCTGTGGGGTAGACGAGGTTTGGAAGAATGAGATGGCCAAGGGACGGCTGACCACATGTTGTTTGATTTTCTTGTAGGAAGATTTGGAGAACGGAGAAGACGTGGCAACGTGTCCTAGCTGCTCTCTCATTATAAAAGTGATTTATGACAAGGTAAGAGATCCATTTTAAAAAGGGAGAAAGGGTTATGAGGTCGTAGAAGGACCTTGAGCAGCCTGACTGTGAAATTAGGTGCAGAATGTTTCCTAACTATGTACTGTGCAAGGAGGTATTCTTTTAAAACAAACTTGTAAAATTTTAATGAACATTAAAACTTTAGTTATGTAGCTCAGGTTGGTTGTAGAGAAGGTAATAAACTAATTTTTAATGAAAACTGACTTAGAAATGGAAAAAATAATTATAAAGTTTATTTTAATTGATACTGTATTACAGTATCTGATATATCTTTAAACGTGTTTAGGGGACAACTATATGTTATTTCTTGCTTAGCTATATATATGACTGCATTATTTGTGATAGAATTCCAAATTGCTATTTTCTAGTTTTACTTTAGTCTTTATTTGTCCTACTGCCTTTCACCCAAAGACAGTAGAAAAAAACTAAATGTTTTTACTGCCCACCTTCACTCATTTTGTTAGTACTTTGAAATCCTAAGTAAGGACTTAACTCTTAAGGTTTATGTAGAGGGAAAGAGGATAAAGTACAGAACTTCATGAGAAGCAGGATATAATTTAGACTATAATGTAGAAATTTAATTCATTAGTTCACATCAATCTAGTCTGGAACAAAAAGTGAACAGGACAAGGGAGATCAGGAGTGCTGGTCTGGGGGAAAGTTATAATTTTAAATAATGTGACCATGGCAGGCCTCATTGAGAAACATCTTATTAAAAAAGTGAGGGAGTGAGCCATCTGCATGTGGGCAGTAAGAGAACTGTGCAAAAGGAACAAGTGGAAGAACCCTAAGTAGGGATGTACTTGGTTTTGTCAAGGAACAGCAATAACAAAAGACCATAGGACAAGATATAGCTCAGCAGCACAAGCACCTGCCTGACAAGCACAAGATCCTAAGTTTCAGTCCTTTGATTTGAGTCTCAGTATAAAAAAAATTTTTTTAAAGACCAATGTGACCAGAGCAAATGAGTGTGAGAGTTGTCCAAGATGAAATAAATAGAGCTGGGCAGATCAAAAGAGATGTTAAAGGGCCACTTGAAGGACCCTGGCCTAGTGTGAATGCTATAGCCACTGGAGAATTTTTAAACAAAGGAATGCTTTGTTTCCACCTAAATTTTAGAATGTTTCTAGCTACACAGTTCAGAGTAGACTCAAGAGTAAAGAAAGAAACAGGGATATATATGGAGTAGGAGGCTGTTTCATTAATCAAAGCTGAAAATGCCTGCTTGAGCCAGGCTGTAGCAGTATAGGTAGTGAGAAGTGAAAATATACTTTGAATGATAACGATTTTCTTACTTGCTGAATATAGATGGTGAGAGGAGTCAGAGATGATATGATTTCCACATTTGTGGCCTAACTGAACGGACAAAGTTACCATCATTTGAGGGGAGGTAACTATAGTTGTAGAGAGGGAATTAGATGTGTTAAGTTTGAGAGATCTTAGCATTCAAGGGAAGTTATTGAGAAGTCAGTCTTGAGTTCAAAAGAAAAAACCCTGGCAGTGTAAATTGAAGAGTTATCAGCAACAGACAGCATTCAGTAGCAGACTAGATGAGATCACTAGAACTTTGAATATAGATAGAGGCAGAGGAAAGACTGACCTGGGATGTTCCACGATTAAAAGGTCTTGGAGGTAAGTGAGGAATCTGCAAAGATGACTGAAAAGAAGCAAGTGGAAGGAGGAAAATCACACTCTGGAAGCCAGGCAGAAAAAGTGGAAGAGGTGATGTTACTTGATAGATACCACTGATAAAAAGAAATTGAGAATTAGCTATTGATTTTAACAACACACAACTGACTTATTTGGATGATGAGAGCAGTTTTAGTGGAGGATCCAAGGCAGTCTGAATGGAGAAACCTGATGGATGGAAAAGTGGTTGGAGAGAATGGGAAAATAGGAGGCAACATCTAGGCATTTCTTACAAGAATTTTGCTGCAAAAGGGAAGATAGGCATCTAATTGGTAGTGATAAATTAAGAGGGGTTTAAGGTCATAGACATCCAGTGTGTCAATGAATTAAACACTGGAAGTTAGATTTAATTAGGGTTGTGGTTTTGCCATGTGAATAGGAAGAAGATGTGATAGAAAAGTGATTATGATATTCGAGCATTGAAGTTGAACAGTTAAAGAGAAGGTGATAGGAGGAATACAGTGGAGGTTCAGAGGAATTGCAATATAGTATCCAAGGGAGGTACATGACAGCAACAGAGAGGATATTTCTGTCGTGTCATAAGGCAAGATTCAAAGTCAGTGGATTTTTAGAGAAGAAAGAATGGTGAAAAAAAGGAGTAACCATTGCCCTCTGAAAAGCCCTCTGGTACACATCACCACTACTAGACGGGGTGCCATGGGGAAACTGTCCTTGGAAATGCTTCATCTTAACCTCAGCATTGTTGACATTTTAGGTGTGATGATTCATTGTTTGTCCTGCACATAGGATGTTTAGCAGCTTCCCTGCCTCAACCCAGTAGATACTAATAGAAAGCCCTACTGATGTCAACTCAAAATATTTCCAGATATTGATGGCAAAGGAACATTTTATTTTTTAAATTTTATTTAAAGAGAAAAACAAAAAGGGTACAAGTTATACAGAATTTCAAAAAAAAATAAACAGGAAATCATTAGTTAATAGATTACATATTGTCATCTTAGAAATAGTTGTTCAAGTTTCAAAATTAAAGCATATAAAGTGAACATTCAATCAGTGAGACTGCAAACAGTTCTGTTCAATGATACAACAAAAACTCAGTAATATGGTTATCTATCTTATATGCTTAAATATACATGCAATTATATCCTTTAGAGCACTTTCATTTCCTCTCTTTTTTACAATGACAGTTACACATTTTGGGCTTTATTACTTCCACAGGTTTTTTTTTTTTTTTTTTTTTTTTTAGAGAGAATAAAACCTAATGTGACATAACAAAACAGAGTCAGTCAAATCAAAAGGATGGACATAGTACATAATGTAAAAACAATACAAGGTGCTATCTTAACAAGAATTGCCTATATCATCAGTCATAATAAAATTGAACAAAACAGTAAAGAACAAAACCAATAAAACCAAAACGTTGGAAACATTACAGGACTTCAAAAGAAGATAATAGTCAAACCAGAATGGGCATCATAGTGAATCTTATTGTCTTCAAAGTTGTTGCCTATACTCTCAAACTTGGTACTATCAAGCAAAATAGAATAGAGTAAAATCAGTCAAAACAAGATGGTGAGAGCAATACAGGGTTTAAGTTAATAGGAAATCAAAGTGGGTTACTATAATATATATCCTGCTATTTTTTATTTATTTTTTCCCTTAATTAAAAAGATAAAAATAAAAAATAAATAATAGAAAAAGGAGATTGAGATAAAAGAGGACATAACAACAAAACAGCACAGGTCAAAACATAACCATTTAAGCAAAATAGTGTTTCACCACAAGATATCCCGACATAAAAGTAGTTACCATAGTGTCTCTTTCCTTGAAATCTTTGAGTACAACTTTGTATACTGTAGCATCAAACATATCATGACAATGTAAAACCATTCAAGAGAATGACAGTATTACAGGATATTTGGAACCAACTAACAGAAAATGAACAAATACTATATTATCTCCTTGTCTATAAACGTTTTTGTTTATATTATCACATATAATAAATTCTAATAAGATTCAACATGTTAAGACCGACGGAGACAAAAGAACAAAAGCTTGATGGGACTTCAAAATAAGATGATACTAAATCAGCACTAGCTATTATGATGTCTTGTTTTCTCCAAAATGGCTGTTCATACCATACAACCTCCTCTGCCTCATTTCCGTTGTGCTCTTTTTCTGTCATTAGTTGTCAGTTTGTCTTCTTCATTTCACTTTCTGCTCCATTCATTTGTGGCCTCCCTGCCACTGTTTCTGGAATCTTGGTATTTTTCTCTTTTAGAATGTCCTGCAGTATTCTCTGTAGAGTTGAATTGGTGTTTGCAAATTCCCCTAGTTCCTCTTTATCCTGGAAGCACCTTGTTTCTCCATTAATTTCTAGGGACAGTTGTGCAGGACATATCAATCTTGGCTGGAGATTATTGTCTTTCAAAGCTTAAATTATTTCGCCCCATGCTCTTTGTGATTTGATGGTTTGTGCCGAGAAGTTTGCTGTAATTCTGGTGGGTGTTCCCTTGTAAGTGATCTGTTTCTTGTCTCTGACAGCTTTTAATATTCTGGTCTTATACTGGATTTCTGGAATTTCGATTATTATATGTAGTTCTGTTTGGGTTGTAGGTGGCTGGGGTCCTGTATGCCTAATAGATCTGAGTATCTTTACCTTTTCCCATATTAGGGAAGTTCTCCTTGATTATTTCTGTGAATAGCCTTTGCAGTTCATTTGTTTGTATCCCTGCTTCTTCCTTTACATTCTTAATTCTTAAGTTATAGATCTTCTTATCATATTCTAGCCTTTGTATTGTTACTGCTTGTTTTTTGTAATTTTTAAGAACTTTTTCCTTTCATGCTCCCACATTACAAATCTGTCCTCCAGTTCAGATAATCTATCCTTGGTTTCTTTCAAGCTGTTATGCCAGCTTTCAATAGTTTTTAGCTTCCTAGTAATCTCTTTGAACCTGCTTCATGTATTCTACATTTTCTGTATTTTCTCCACCAAACAATTCTCCCTTTTTTTCTGTTCTTCCATTCCACCATCTGTTTTTTTCTTGGGAGGTGCTTAGCATTTCTTTAACTATTCTACTTATATCTTGCTTTACTTGGTTAAATACTTCACTTTTGAACTCATCTATGAGGTCCTGAAGATATCGCTTTATGTCTATTGGTGCCGTGTCTGATATTGCATGTTTTCTGTCCTTATTCTCCTTTGCATTTACCTTTTCTGGATCAGTGTTCTCAGGATTGGGGACTGAGAACCCTTTCTTGTTGCTCCCTCTTCCCATACTTTTTGTTCCTTCCATACAAGCATATATTGGAGACCCAGTTTCTTTCTTTGTTGGTTACAGTTTGATGAATCACGCCAGCTAGGTGTTCCTGCCCACTGCAATGGACTAGGGAGACACAGACCTGGGCAGCCTATGCTGGGTACACCCCTTCAGGTCAGTCAACCTACTGAAGGTTTCACTCCATTAGGGTGCACTGCCAGGCACAGGGTCCTGATTTGGGCTAGCCTACTGGGTCTTAGTCCGTGGCATCACCAAGGTCAAGCACTCCCCACCAATCCTGCTTGAGAGGGGAATATGACTAAAGTCACTGCAGCATCCTGTTCTGACTAGTCTGCCCGGTCCCAAAATGTCTTCTGTTGGAGCCTCGTAGTCTATGGAAGGATCCCTGCTCCTCTCACTCACCACAGGTTGATGCAGGGCTCCCCGCTAGCTCTGCTCTCAATTCGGTTCACCAATTCCTGCTCTCAGATCTTTTGGGTCTCTATCCCTGCTGTGCCAATTCAGATGCAGCAGATGTGGCAGGAAATTCAAGCCACGGTTTCCAGAGGCGTGGGTTCCAACTTTGGCATCAAGATTTCAGCTGTTCCAATCGTAGCACTGGGATTGCATTTCCGATTGTTTTCTCTCAGCTTAGTTCGTTCCTGGGTTGGCAGGGTATATCCCTCCCTGCTTAGGACTCCCCACACTGCACCATTCCTGGAATCTAAGCTGGCTATCTCATAGAGCCTCTGTAGCTGCTGTTATCTATCCAGCATGTTCTCCCAGAAGTCCAAATACTAAGGAACATTTTAAAGAAAAGATTGAGAAAGCACCGTGCTGATGACATGCCATGAATTCCAAAGAGCACAGAGGGTGCTGGGTGGAAAGTAGGAGACAGCAAAAGGGCTGAATAGGGCTGATCCCGTAGAAATGAAGTCACAGGGGATGAGGGGTAGCCAGAGACCTAGGGAGCTCTATTGTAGCTGACATAAACCAAAGCAGGTGATCAGATTGAACTTTACATATAAAGTAGCCAATGTTAAGGATTACCTGTTCTAACACATAAAGACTTATTCCTTTTAGTCGGAGACACTATTTTGAAGAGGTGTATTTGGATGCCCAAATACTGAAGTAATTAATACCAAAACTTAAAAGATGTGACCTACCTTTTTGTTATTTCTAGTAAGTAGTTGCATGAGAAAATGCTATCTGAGATGAACATGTTTATAAGAAAAAGTGCTTCTTACTAAATAATGAATACTAAGAATATTCAGTTAAGATTCTAATTCTAATACTGTTACTATTGTTTGAAATGACATAGCAATGGAAAAACAGTTGGATTGATTCTGTAGCAAAATGACGGTAACGTTAAGATATCTGCGATACAGAAATTGAGTGGTTAATGTCATTTCTTATTCTTAGGATCAGTTTATGTGTGGAGAAACAGTCCCAGCCCCTTCAACCAACAAAGAATTAGTTAAATGCTGAAGAAGCCTTCAGAAATTCAAATCCTGAATAAGTGGATGGAAATATCAAATGCAAGGACCCTGGCTTTCCAGTGATAACTGCTTTATGATTTGCTATTCCATTTGAGTGTGGATCTGTTCATCAGCGGCTGGGTTCATCCTTAAATAGAAAACAAGCCCGTAAGTTTTCTAATCTGGATTCATGCTTAGAACTTTGAATTGGAAGTGTTCTTAATTGCCCATGTAAATTTAAAGAAAGGTAATCTTAATCAGTGCTCTCTTTCCCTTAGTTTCATCATTTTTATATCCTGAACCTAGTTCAGTATCCCAATTACAGCATTGTCTACCTCATTCATCAGAATGTCTTATTAAAAGATTATATTTTTTTAACTTAGTTATTAAAATGAGTAAAATTAGCTCGCTCTTTGAATATTGACATCAGCTTTGTAGTTCCAAACTAAGGAAATGTGTTGCTTTGTCATCACTGTGCTTGCAGTTTCCTTACCACACCAGTCTCTTCACCATTGTTAGAATGCTCAGGTTTGTTCAGCATGCCATTTCTGTTACCCTTCATGCTAACATCAATCGTGGCATTAAAAAAGAAAGATCCAGGTGTGGTGGTGCACACCCTGTGATCGCAGCACTCAGGAGGAAGGTGGATGCTGCAAGTGCAGGCCAGCCTGGGCTACACAGCAAGACCATGCCTCAAAAAAAAAAAAAAAAAAAAAAAAAAAAGCAAGGCCATACCACAGCTTCTCCATAGCTACAATTTAGTGACTGACGAAAAAGTCTAGAGTAAAATGGTCACAGAAATGCAGTTTCTTTATATTCTCCATATTCTTTGAAAGTCAGAGCAAGATAAACAGAACGAAATGAAATCAGTAATGAGAGGAATGAAACACTCTAGCTTAAGTAAATGAAACGCATGAATGATTTTGCCACCTCAGTGTGTATATTTGTGTATCTTGAGGGTTTTTTTTGGTTAACAGTACTGCTGAAATTCAGAGCGGGGTTATTGCCATTATGGCTGGTAGCAGTCTTTCAATGTATCACAGTATTGTGTCACTATCGAAAGGTAAAGTATGTACCACAGAGAAGAAGCTTAGAAATGGGAGGCCTGTACATTTAATAAATCTCGGTAACATGCAACTAAACCAGACATTCACTCCTTCAGAGAAATGTTGTCCTATAGAAAAGCAGAAAGTAGATAGGCTAGTGATCTTCCTTTGCAGCAGTGCTGCAAGTCGCAAGAAATTAAAATCACTTATATGAGAATCAAAAATTTCCTTTGTAAACACAACTTCGCTATGTATATATGAAGTTTTGAAAATGCACTGGTAGAAGGTTGTTTTGGGAATGGCTTCTGTGATTAGAAAAATCACTTGGTAGAATATGAGTGTTCTATTATTAGTGAAAGCTGACACATTTGAGGTTTAAAATAATCTATATGAACTTTTTTTTTTAACCTGGCAGCAGCATTAAACTGAGATAATTAAAAAATGTTATGCGAGAAGTGCATGGTACATTATTTGGCATATTCCTGATATGATGAGAAGATTCATTGCCGTGTGGAGCACAGATGTCCCAGAAGTAATCCACACTGCCCTTGGGCAAATGATTGCTCAGAAGAGAGCAAGGTACATGCTGACTGGAGGGAATGACTTGCCAAGAGAAATGAACTGTTGTGCACCCATGTTGATGCTTCTATAGATAGTGCTAACGTGTAATCTTTTTCTGCTGCTCATGAATTTCAAACAGGAACAGATGCCCTGATGAGCTCAGACTTTTAGTTTGTGAACTACAAAGACATACCAGGAATTAATCCGAATTAAGCACAATGGAAAGCCAGCATCTTTCAAGTATTATTGTACTTCTGTGTGATACGTGTGCCTTATTTATTGCTCCCTGCCTCCTTCCTGGAGCACCTATGAAAACAGTAACACAGGTTCTGTGTCTGATTAACTGTCATATTTGGCCAGGCCAGTAGGTTCCTCAACTGTACCAGATGATTTTTTAGCTATCAGGTCTCATTTCAGGTGTGGCTTGCAGGAACTAAAATGGTGATTGAAAACTTTATTCAAAACTGAACCAACAATTAGAGACTGGAAGTTCCAATTTCCTTCAATAACTTGATGTTTTCACACTTCTGAATTTGGAAATTATTAAGTCAAATTGTTTAAAAAATTCTACGTACACTTTATGCATTCAGAAGCATTTTTCCTAACACCCAACGTTTTTGTAACTGTACATATTAATTTATTGCCAGAATAAGTTGTACTGGTGTGCTAAATAAAATCAGATCATTCAAATTCAGTTGTTTCCAAGTAACTTTTCTTCTAAATATAAAAATTTGAAATTAAAATGTTTTGTTGTAATGGTTTTATATGAGATGAAAATCTTAACCTGTTTTGAGGCTTATAAGTTTTTATTTTTTTTGAGGAAGGGACTCATTGGGTGGCCCATTACAAGAACTGCTGGGCTCAGTTAATCCTGTCTCAGTGACAGGTGCTGTCCCTCTTATCATAGTTTTTTAAGTAGGAAAGAAAGTGGCACTGTTTCTATAGTTTGGCCACTGAATTTTTACTCCAAGTTACTATTTTGGGGGGAAAAAAATTTAAGCTTTGAGTCTGGTGTCAGTAAGGCAAAGAAGTAGTTGACTTCTTAGATGAATTCAGTTTATTGCTGGACATGAAAGCTGATAGAACTATATTTAAGGTTGGTGATCAACTCTTGGAGTAATTAGAGAGTCCATCTCTGGTGAGGACACAATTGAATTGTAATTCTTCCATTGTGATCTGAAGTTGTTTCATCATTTATGTCTTGGTTGGTGAAATATTGACCATATTTTCTCCTCTATGGGGTTGCTTTGTGAATTTGCATTCTGCAAGCATCTGGGGAGTTTGCCATATGCTAAGCACTAGGTTAAGAAGACATGGTTTCTGCCTTTGTGAAGGTTACATGTAGCTAGAAGAGACAGGAATAGGGCTCAGAGGGGAACAAAGTAAATTATGTGATCATGATGGGGCCCGTGCATCTGAGTTTGAGCTGTGGCACTGAGTGACCTGAAATGTGAGAAACAGCTTTGTGAAAATCATACATGAGCTAATAACATTTTAGCCAATGCCTACCACACATGCAAAAATAGTTATTCTGACTCTGAAAGTAAGTCACTGAGCATTGGCAGTGTATCTTTAGAATTAAAAAGTGCAAAGTTTTAGACAGTCCTACTCACCTTCCTGAACCCCTATTTTAATAGCCTGTCAGCTGACTGTGATGCAGCTAAAGTTTGAGAACCACTGGTTGTCAAACTTGATGGCATATTGCAATCACCTATGACGTTTTAAAAATTGATGTCACAGAAAGTATGATTTAATTAGGGGGCAATACAGTCATCAGAATTTTTTTAAGTGTCCCTGGTGAATCTGTTGTGCACCTGAGGCTGAGAACTGCTAGAAAAACAGAAAATACATAATCACAAAATAAAAAGGACCCAAGTTTTAAGACATTCACACCTGCATTGCCCTTGGAACAATGAGTGTGGGTTCAATTGACCACACACTGCATTCAGGTCTGCAGTCTGCCTTAATAAGCAGCCAGTCTGAGGGAGCCCTGGCTGAGCTAATGTACACAGTGGGAGAGCCCCAATCTGGGTGGCCTCTAGGCTATGTCCTCTATTTAAATAGACTCACATTTTCCATCACACACTTTGACTGCTAATTACACACCTTACAAGAGTGACAGCTTCTGCAGGTGTAAGCAATTAGGATTTCTTTAACTCGTTTAAAGATGCCTGCCATTCCCTACTTCCCACCAAGCAAATTGCTCATGATTACATATTCGACTGAGAAGCCATTTTACAAATTATTCTTTGTTAAGGGTTTAAGATAAAGGACACACAAAAAATTACAGAAATGCTATCTCCCCTAGTGCCACAGAAATACTTCAAATGGCAGTAGGATGTGGGTAGGATTCTTCCCTCCACATACAGATACATGTTGCAGAAAAGCCTTAAAACTCTGAAAAAACACTATTAGATTTCTGAACGAGTACTGGCCAAATTCTAGGAAATTCAAGTTACTATTTTTTGAAAATTTTGGGCTCAGACTTCACCGCTAAAATTAGGGAAGAAAACTTGCTACTTAGTCTTTGCCAAGTCCTAGCACAGGTGAACAAGTGGTGTTTTCAGGAAAATGGAGAAGCACAGCCTGCCAGGAGGCTGGTGGAAGTCTGGAAAGGCTGCTGCCTGTGTCACTATTACTCTGGGAGTATGCAGTTGAGCATTGGAGGGGAACCTGGGTTTGCTGCTGGTCAGCAGACAGGCAGAAAAAAAGCTGGACGTGCAGTGGAAAAGAGGATGGATAATTAACCACCAGCACCTCTGCATTTATCTGTCACTACCTGTGACTGCAGTGCTTTTCAGAGTCATGGCTGCTGCTTCCTTTCTGCCTTCCATCCTGGCATGTTTGTTAGCCAGCTGTACCCAGAACCATAAAGGAAGAGATTCTGGGAAACTTTCAGCTTAGCCAAGATGATACAGCACAAAATTGCCACAGTTTTTGATAGTATCAAAGGCTAACCAAACCCACTTGAATATTTTTGTTAGAAGGCCCACGAAATGATCCTTTTTCAACCTGCAAACACCTGCTCTCTGAGGGAGGACAAATGCTGGGAAACCCACCTGGCCATTAGGGCAGAGTTCAGCAGGGAGCAAGGGAGGCCCTGCAGGCAAATATGGCAAGTGTCAGGTGTCGATGGGGGAAGGTCTCCAATATGGAATGGTTCCCAGACAGAGGCAGCTTCCACTATAGGGTAGGGCAGTGGTGGTGAAACTCTGGCACAGGTACTGCAGTGGCTGTTTGTATCATTGAAAGCTTTAAAAAGTTCACCATTACTGGGGTATCGGATCCCGAACAGTGGAAGGAGCCACAGGCAGTGCTTCAGTCTAACAGGGTTGACACTTGCAACTAAAGCAGCTCTTATATGAGACCTGATCATGGGATCAGGACCATCACCAGGCAGAGATTTTGGGCCAAACATCATTCTTAGAGGGGAACTGTGTTTCTAAATAGGGTAAAAGAGTCTACTTTTTGACAAAAAATTAATGGTGACAATGAGAAAGAAAATGAGCACTTAATGGTTATCACACGTGTCAGGTTTGTTATACACACAGTCTGTCCAGCATCACCGAAGAGAACACTGAGTCCCATTACAATTTTCATATAGCAAAAAGGACTTGCATGTACAAATTTCATATAACAAGAAGGACTTGGGACATTAGTAGAGTTTGTGGGTTCCTCTTCACCACCAGTTAGTATGAAGACAAGAATAAAAGATTGAACAGGGTATTTGGAACGATGTATGTAATTAAATGGATGTGCAGCAATTACACAGTGTTTACACATAATTAGTTCTCAATAAATGAGAGTTTAATCTTATATATGTCTTGGTCCATCATAAATAACTAGAGAGAATGGTTTGTGGCACTTGACTGAAATTATAGATTAAGTGGATGCCATCACAAGGTGTTAGGGCTCAGGTGAGAGGAGCAATGAGGACAAAAGCAGCCAGTCCGACAAGCAAGTAATTCCCTCCATCCCTGCATTCCATGTAAGTAAGCTGGCCCAAAGGGCACAATCTGCCAGCTCTAAGCTGGCTTTAAACATTTTGCTTCCCCTTGGCATGAGGCAAAGCAGTGCAGACTAACCAACCGACCTGATCCTGGAAGAAGACAGTGACTGGGGAAAGAAAGTAGCGTGGGAAGCCAGAAGACCCAGGGAGAAAGTATGAACCAAACCAGAAACTCCCAAAGTAATTGAGTGAAAGATAACCACAGGAGACTCCACAGAAAGGGAGTGGGCCAGATATAGACTTCCCCTAAGAAGTGTAAGCACTTGGGCTGGGAAAAAGCCCAGCCTTCCAAAGAAGCAACAAGAGCCCATAACTATCAGTATTAAGTCCAACAGTCCACTTGGACCCCTACCTCACTACCTACCTCCAGTAGAGACAAAAGGGCTGATCATATTTCCCATCTACCAATGAGACAAAGGACTTACCTTGGCCTGAACATGACCACAGTTCTGGGGTGAATGGACAGAGGGACTTCTAATGCAGGAGAGCACCTCAAAAAACCATAGCCCCTAAAGCTGACAGAGAAAAATCATGACTGGTTAGATCCTAGGACTCCAGATCTTGGAAAGAAACTACTCATTCAAGAACAAAGAGATAATTTTTTCCTATGGCTCAATATTTTTGATTTTGATTTTTAAATTTTTTGATATTTTTGTCTTTCCATCATCAGATTTGGATGGTGCTAACACCCTCCCTTTTAAATTTTTTTCACTTTTAGTTCCTTCTTTCTACTTCTCTCTCTTAAAATTCGTTTCCTTCTTGTCTTTCTTTTATATCTTGTATATTGCTCTCTGATTTTTCTTTTGCTTCTTTGTTGTTTCCTGTGATAACTTTCTAACACTGTTAAGTTCCTTTTGCTCCTCAACAGGACCCCCTTCTTACTTTTCTTTCCTTGTCATATATGATTGATTACTTTTCCACATTTTACTTTTTTTTCATTCTCTGGTCCCTCATCTCCTCTACTGTTAATAGTATAACTACTAGCTTTAGGAATCTTTGGATAGCTAATGAACTCTGTTGAATACTGTTCTATTGTTAGTAGAAGAAAGTTGTTCCATTTAGTAGGTATTTACTGTTGGCCCATAGTAGGTCAATATTTGGTTTGTCATAGTGTTTATATTATAATTATAGGTCTCTTTTCTAATAGTTAAGCTTGGGGTATTATTATATCCTGGGGATTTGTCAATATCCAGTTTCTCTTTGATACTATAATTAATGTTGACCTTACTACCATAACCGAGGTAACATAGTTGTTGTTATTAATTGATTTTATTGCAAGGCCAATATCTGGATTTCCTTGGGTCATTAACAATGCTGTGGTCCATTCCTGGAGAACTGGGTATTTGGGCCAAATATTTTGCAACTTCCCTTCTCAAACAAATGGAGGTAGTTGACAAAGGACAATAGTTAGCAATGCCCAGAGGACACCCCTGAAAAGTAGACATTAAATAAAACAACCAAGCATAGAAAGAGCCTCTCTGGAGAGTTATTGTCCAGATGCTGGAATATAGAACTGCAAGGAAGACAAGAAAGAGGGAGTGGGTTCCTTGGACCAGGAAGGATCTGAAGCAAGAATTAAAGCCCATGGGGAGAGTGAAGACAGAAACTTCAATGAAGAAAAGGTAGCCAGTGAATCCTTCTCCTTGAGTCAAGACACACAGAGTGGGAGGAATGATTTAGGCCTG